CTCCTCTCCTCTCCTCTCCTCTCCTCTCCTCTCTTCTCCTCTCCTCTCGCCTTGTTCTCACCGTCTTGTTCAGGTACTACAAGAGAAAGGATACCTTATGCGCGGCCTTGCCCATCCCTTTCTGTTCCGGTGAGTCAGAACAAGAAGAGCTGTCCAGGAAAGAGAGGGGAAGACAGGAGGAGAGGAGAGGAGAGGAGAGGAGAGGAGAGGTGAGGTGAGCAGAGCAGAGCAGAGCAGAGCAGAGCAGAGCAGAGCAGAGCAGAGCAGAGCAGAGGAGCAGCTGCGTGGAGAGGAGGGAAATGGTCTATATTGATCAGCAGGAGCAGGAATGTTCAGGCGGTTCCTGGAGTGACGGGACAATTTGAAGGAGATGAGAACATTTATGAGCTGGTAAGTGAAAAGAAGAAACGAAGATAAGGATGATGATGAGGAAGATGATGATGATGATGACGATAATGATAATGATGATGATGATAAGGAGGAGGAGGAGGAGGAGGAGGAGGAGGATTAAAGATGTGATGACAACGAAGAAAACGTTGTCGTCGATGGCATTGATGATGATTGAGATGATGACGATGGAGATGACGATAATGACGATGATGGAGATGATGATGGAGACGACGACGACTATGATGATGATGATGATGTCAATGAGATTTATGACAGAAATGATAGAGATCATTAACATTGATGATTGGGGTTTTCTTTCTCAGTTTGGAGCTGTTCCAGTTTCTCCGAGAAATGCAGCAAAGCTCATGAAAGCTGGTGAAGTGGTAAGACCCTACCTTGACATCGTTGACCTTGGTTTCTCCTTTTCCCTTCTCCTCCTCCTCCTCCTCCTCCTCCTTCTCCTCCTCCTCATTATCCTCTTTTTCGTTTTTCTTCCCTTTCACTTGTTCTGTTTGCTTCTTACCGATGTTGCTCAGGTTCTTTTGTTCCCTGGGGGTGTGAAAGAAACCGTTCCGAGCCGAGACGAGAAATATGCTGTGAGTTTGGAGCTTGTTCTGTCTGAACTGTTCCTTCACTTCATCTTCTTCATAATCTCCTTCGTCGTCATCATCCTTCGTGTCCCTCTGTTCTTCATTGTTGATCATCGTCATCTTTTTCTTTCAGCCCTTTCGATTTTCTCCTTTTCATCTTGTTCAGTTTCAACTAGAAAATCACCGTCAACCTCATCATCATCATCTCAATCATTGTCATCATCACCATCGTACACACCTACATCTGAACTCACTCTTCATTGTAACCTCATCTCTAAACTCTTCTACTTCAGTTGCAATGGCCAGATAAGAGTGAATTCGTTCGTCTTGCAGCAAAATACAACGCGACCATCATTCCCTTTGCTGGTGTTGGTAAGAAATCAACAACAAACTTCTTCTTTTCTCTCTTCTCTTCTCGTTTCATTCTTCTCTCTTCTTCCTTGCTCCTGTTTTCTTTGTTTTCATCTTTTCATCCCCTCTCCTTCTCCTTTACCATATCGTCTTCTCACCTCCTTATCATCTCAACCATGAGAAACATCATTGTTCATGTTCTCGTTGTTTTGATGTTTTCTATCAGGTGCAGCAGAGGCTTTCTCAGTGTTGTTGGATGTTGACGAAGTTGACCGGTGAGCAGACGAGAGGAGTAGAGCAGACGAGAAAGAATAAGATATGGCAAAGAAGGAGAAAGAAGGGAGGAAAGATGAAGAAGGGAAAGGTATTTCTGCAAATTGATTGTTTTCCCCGCAAGGCTCAAGAAATCTCCTCTTGCTCCACTGCTTCCAAACTTCGTGAATGGATACGGGAGCAGAAAGGAGGTGACCCTCCTCCTCCTCCTCCTCCTCCTCCTCCTCCTCATCCTTATCCTCCTCCTCCTCCTCTTCCTCCTCATCCTTATCCTCCTCCTCCTCCTCCTCTTCCTCCTCATCCTTATCCTCCTCCTCCTCCTCCTTATCCTCCTCGTCCTTATCCTCCTCCTCATCATCATCCTCATCCTCATCCTCATCCTCATCCTCATCCTCTTCTTCCTCCACATCCTCCTCCTCCTTTTTTCTCCTCCTTCTCCTCCTCCTGCTCCTCCTCTTCGTCCTCATCCTCATCCTCATCCTCATCCTCTTCTTCCTCCACATCCTCCTCCTCCTTCTTCTCCTCCTTCTCCTCCTCCTGCTCCTCCTCTTCGTCCTCATCCTCATCCTCATCCTCATCCTCATCCTCCTTTCCTCCTCCTTTCCTCCTCCTTCTTCACTTTGCAACCACTCAAGCTCACTTAATTTTCAATCTCACACACAACAGGAACAGCCTTGGACTCTGGGTCCTGGAGTAAGAAGAGAATCAGCTGGCAGAGAGACTGAGGTGAAACTCCTCTCCTCTCCTCT